GGAAAGAACTGTTAGGAGAAGAAGTAATGAAGGAAATCTACATGAAATGACGAGGGACAAATGTTCTTTTAAAACAACTGAGATAAAATTGACATATAAGATTGTACTCGTTGCAGGTGTACAACATAATAATTTGATATTTATATATATTGTGAAATGACCGTGACAATAAGTCTAGTTAACATCCATCACCACACAGAGTTAAAATTGTTTTTTCTCGTAATGAGAACTTTGAAGATTTACTCTCTTAAGCAAATGATTTCTGGAATTCCCGTCCTCGGAGTGCCTTCTGATGTGGCTGGAATGACGACCTACCCTTGGAAAGCTGAAAACAAACTGGGGTGGGGCCTAGACGTAAGTGAAACGGAGTGGATTGCATACGCTGGCCCCTGACTCCAGTTTACCAAGTAGAGATCACGCTGAGCTTTGGCCCCAAAGCCCTAGCAAGTGTTTACAAAGCAGGGATTTGCCTGAAATGCCTTAGGCCTTAAGAGAGAAGTTGCCTCTGGCCATGGTAAGTGATTAATGGAAACTCAGAAATGTCAGGGTCCTGGATCTCAACCAGTGGAGGCTGACTATTTAACATCTCCTAATGAAGTGCCATGGACTAAGTTATGGGATAAGGTTTTGATGCTGAGAGGTACAGTATGGTTCAAAACTCACGTTTGCTGGTTTCCCACTTTACCAAGCATCCCTCACACTTGTCCTCCTTCCTGAATCTTTGCATAAATTTTGATACTCATGATGGATGGATATGTTTGGCCTACATACCTCAATAAGTTGACAGAAAGAGCTTCTATATTTAAAACTCATGACATATCACACGCTTTGTCTAAGTGCCATGCTTAGGAGCTCAGCTATTGCAAGTGAAGGGTATGCTTTATTGTAAGCTGAGACACAGTCTACCCTGTGGAGTGTGGCATTGGCTCCACTATTGTATTAAGTACTATGTACTAATTAATCCAATCCCAAGTTTCGTGTGACTGAGACAGGAGGGAAGGGGACAGGGTGCAAGCATTAAAAGAATGACACAGCAATTAGCACCAAGATGGTGGAAGGTTCAACTCCCAGGTGACCTTGAGCTTCATTAGATGCTCATTTTAATACAACAGCTGCTAAATGGTACTCCCACAGGCGCCAGGACAGTTTTAAGGCTGACCGCAAAGGTTAAAAAGTGGGTAATGGCTCAATTCCTGGGAATCCCGGTCCCTTCTCCAAAGTAGTTGGAATAATCCTCCCACTTGTTAGCATATAAAGTTATCAAGTCCGTAAAAACTAACAGCCCCGCACCTCGCGGCTGCTCTCCCTTCTGAGTAAGATGGCCTGCACTCTGTCTGTGGCATGTGTATCTCCTAGTCTCCTCTGCCTTTTCTCTGGACTTCTGAGACATCCCCCACTCTGTCTGTGGAGTATGAATCTCTCTGAATAAATCTGCCTTCACTTTACTATGGCTCATTGTTGAATTCTTTCCTGCGTGAAGCCAAGGACCCTCACTTGATGGGGCGCGTCCCAGGGACTCACTTGGGACCTGGGACATGACCATCCTCTCACACCCCACTTTCCTTGTTCATGATTAATGGAGCAAGAGACAGGAAAACAAATTTGTGAAACTAATTATTCAAAAGGTATGTAATTTACTGAAAGGAAAACAACTTACTAGAAATTTAAAAAATTTTTTCTAAGTTTTGGAGATAGCAAACAGAGATCTTAGATGACTTACTCATGGCATCATGGAGTTTTAAGGGGTTTGGGGATGAAAGGTTATAAATAGGGCATCTGCCATTTTCCTTCATAATGTTCCATGAGTCCTTTCCTGTGCCGGATGGACCACAGGGCTGACCATTTCATTTTGCATTTTGAGTCAGTGTTTTCCCTAGAGAGTTAAGAAGATATCTTAGTAACTAGAAGAAGACATGCCTAGGTGACATTCTCAAGTGTAATTTTGAACAAAGACAAGAGCTCTTTCCCCATGGTGCTTATGCACAACCTAGTGATTAATTGGTGGGTTTTGTTCTTTTCTTTGGCTTCTGGAGGAGGTGCTGGTAATAAGTGGGACTCCCTAGAAGAGCAGAACTGGGGAGAAGAAGGAGAAAGAAACAGATATCAGATAATTTATTCCTGAATCCTTTGAATTATTGACAGTATGTTACATTCTTGTCCTTTCCCAAGATAGACGTAAGCCTGACTTCATGTAGGTGAGCCTCAATAACCCTTTCTCAGATTCAAACAGCCATCCTTAAGCCCCTGTGCTCTGCCACAAGCCTTCTGAAGACTCACTCCCGGTCAGGGCAATTAGACACCTGGTTCTTACTCTGCTCTTAAAATGCATGATTTGATCCCAGTTGTTTCTCTTACTTTCTGAGCTCATATCTTACTCAGAACACCTGCTGTCCAGCTATCTGCTATGACTATTTTTGGTGTTGCTTATCCTGACATCTGGAATGATGGACTGCATCATCAGCTCAGCTGGGTACGTTCACCACCGTGGACTGGTTGAGCTGGCTGCTCTAGGGACCGGCCACAGGCTGGCCCTCATGTCAATGTTTCTTGGCTTTATTTGAGGCCATTTTCCATTCCTCTATTTTCAGATATTGGCATGAAGACATGGTAGATTTGGAAGACTTGGTTGCTTGAGAATTTCAGTTTCTACTTTTGGATGGAGTGGCACAGCTGTGGGGTTAGATTAGCTCTTGGAATTTTCTGGCGTGTGAGATTTGAGAAGTCAAGGGCAGGGAGGAGGAAACCCAGAATAATTAGTTACAAAGTCATCCTCTTAACTTTGTTCTCAGCAGGTATGTAAAGTTGAGATTGGCAAGGACATTCAGTGCTGTGGGAACTAGGTTTTGTGCAGTTGCTGTCCCTGTCTTGGCTTGTGCCTCCAGCGGGTCACTCACCCTCTCTGAGCCTCTGTTTCATTTTCTGTTAATAGAGACTTTGAGATGGATGTTAGGCATTTAGCTTAGGCAATCACTGTCTGGAACGCACTGAAGTCTATCAAATTGGATACATCATTATGGATGTTGGATGTCTTTTTTGGAGGGAGAGTATCCAAGACTTTCATCCAATTCTAAAGAGTCTGTGACCAAAATGATACTATAAATGACTGTATTGGATGGTTTCCATGGCCCATTCCAAACCAGATGTTCCAGGATCCTGGAACACTTTATAACAAAGAAAAGCAGACACGAAGCCCAGTTCCTAATCTCTGCCTTGTTACAGAGCTTTATCTAACTACTTCCATCCACACTGACCTCTGCCTCTACTAATCTCCTATATGCTTTAGTTAAATCATTCAGTTATTCATTCATTCACTCATTCATCAAATATCTACTAGAAAGCCAATGAAGAAATACTGAGTACCCACCATGTGTCAGACACTGTTAAAACGAAGCCAGATCTTCAAATTAGCCACATTCAATGAGCCAAAAAGCATTTTTGGAATCCTTACTATACTTTAGGTACCACCCAAACCAGTGGATTTCAATTTTGGCTGAATATTGGGGATCACTAAAACTCTCATGCCCAGGCCTCAGTCTAGACTTGTTAAATCAGAATTCCTAGGGGTTGGGACCCAGACGGTGGGATTTTTAAAAAGTTGTCCCCCGGCCCCAGCTGATGCCAAAGTATAACTAAGGCGGGGAACTGGTGATGAGAATGGTGACCCCTGGCCTGGAAATTGCGTGATGGAGCTAAGAAACCACATACATGACTGTTTATAATTTTCACATTGTTTCTTGGTGCATTTGGAATAAAATCCAAAACATGGCTGCAAGTCCTTAGATGATCTGGCCTCTGTCCACATTTATTCATTCATTTAACAATAGCTGTTGTATGTCCAGTTTGTACCAGCCAATGACCTAGGCAGTAAGGATAGAATCATGACAAGTCAGACAAGTTCTTTGCTCTTTGGAGCTTACATTCCAATGAAAGAAACGTACCATTAATGTGTAAACACAGTTATTGATAAGAGAGTCTCAGTGATTAAAAAAAAATCAGACTAGTGGACCTGGGAGTGACAGGGTGGTGGAGGGCTACTTTAAGTTGACTGGTCCGGGAAGGGGTCTCTGAAGAGAACAACTTGCAGCTGAGATTCCAATGTTTAAAAGGACTCAGCTTTGTGAAGATCTGGGGAAAAGGACTCTAGACAGCAAGAACAGCATGTGCAAAGGTCCTAGGGCTAGCAGAATAGAAAAGGGGAGAGACAGTGAGGAGGTCTGAAGGTGGGCAAAAGCCGGGTAATTTAGGGCTTTGTGGGCATGGTTTGGGTTTCCTTTTAAATGCCCTGAGAAGTTCTTACACTATGGCCCCATTTCAGAATCAATCATTTGTTGTTATGTTTTATTAAGTACAAGCAGTCCTCACATGGTATAGTACTGCACGACCAAATCTCAGTTACCCTAGAATCTTGCAAAGCAAAGACAAGCTTCCTATATGCCCAAGCTCCACGTGACACGGTACCATGTGAAGTGAGGACGACTGTATCTCTCAAAACTCTCAAACGATTTTTATGCTAGTCTTATTTTCTTAATTTAATTGTGAGATCCCTGGGGCAAGATGAGGAGCCATTGAGGTACTGGATTATTGCTCCCAGCCATTCACTACTTCTGTGTGACTAGCCTGTGCCACCCATGGGAGAAGTAGACAAACTCACCTAATTGACTCTGGGCTTGGTCTCATGACTTGCCTTGGCCAGTGGGATGAGGACTGGACATTTGCTGTGTTCAAGCAGAGTCAGTAAATGTGTGCTCTGCTTAACTTCCCTCTGCTGTTCTTTTTTTTTTTTAACTGAGGTATAGTTAGTTTACAATGTTGGATCAATTTCTGGTATACAGCATAATGTTTCAGTCATACACATACATACATATATTCCTTTACATATTCTTTTTCATTATAGGTTACAGCAAGATACTGAATATAGTTCCCTGTGCTATGCAGTAGAAGCCTGCCATTTATCTATTTTATATCCAGTAGTTGGTATCCGCAAATCTTGAACTCCCAATAAAAATATGGAGTGCTTCACAAATTTGCATGTCATTCTTGCACAGGGGCCATGCTAATCTCTGTACTGTTCCAATCTTAGAATACATACTTCTGAAGCAGCACCCTCTGCTGTTCTTAAATTATTGTCTCCTGCACACCCCAGAGAGGAGCTCCTCCTTCTTCCTGCTCCCACAAGGAGGAGACATATCTTGCTGAGCTAAATGGAGCCAAGCCATACCCAGCAGACCCAATCAGAGTTGAGGTCAACCCATAGCCCATAAGTAATGTGGGCAAGAGATAAACATTCGTTATAGTAAGTCACTAGGAAGTGGGGTTGTCTGTTACTGCAGCAAAAACTGACTAATACAATCTAGGTGGGACTGAAAACACAGTACTCTTGAAATAGTTCTGAAATATTTACTGGTTGATTAAATGCAACCAGGAGCATGAATGCTGGAGTCAGATTGGGTTTAAATCCCTGCTCTGACACTTAACAACCTAATCTTGCTGTCCTTGATTTCTTCATTTGTGAAATGGAGATAATAGTAGTACCAAACTCAAAAGGTTTTTGTAAGGATTGAATTAGTTTGTATATATTACTTTATATACACTCATACAGTGGTTTTTGAAACACATATAGTGCTTGGAGTAATGTCATGGAACACAGAGTCTGCTGTCATTATTATTATTATTATTCAATATTTATCCTAGTTTCATTTTTGACAATATAGTAATATTTATTATGCATTTTAAATTTTATTTTCATTTTATATATTGTTTAAAGTAACTTCTTAGCAACCACAGTTCATTTTGTCAGATCAATTTTGTGTTGTGTATTTAAGAGCTTCCCCTTGCATGTAATATTCCCCTGCACTCAGTGGACATGTTTTTATTCTCATCTTCCAGGTCAAAGATTAAAAGTTTCAGCAGAACCATGCTTTTGCTATATATATATATCTGGTACTTGAACAAGTGGCAAAGTACTCTTATTCAGGGAAAACTAGTAAATTAAAAAAATCATTCTAAGTGAAGTAAGCCAGAAAGAGAAAGAAAAATACCATATGCTATCACTTATTTGTGGAATCTAAAAAAAAAAAGACATACAAACTTATTTACAAAACAGAAACAGACTCACAGACATAGAAAGACTTATGGTTACTAGGAGGATAAGGGGTGGAAAGGGATAAACTGCAAGTTCTAGATATGCAGATACTAACATACATATATATATACATATATATATATATAATAGATAAACAACAAGTTTATACTTTATAGCACAGGGAACTATATTCAATACCTTGTAGTAACTTATGGTGTAAAAGAATACGAAAATGAATATACATATGTTCATGTATGACTGAAGCATTATGCTGTACACCAGAAATTAACACAACATTGTAGACTGACTATACTTCAATAAAAAATTATATATATATATATATATATAAAGCTTCAAATGTAGGTAATTTAAAGGTGAAGTAATGATAGTCTGGGGGAAAGCAAATATTGAATATGAGAGTGGTTATTGACGATTAGAACTAATGGCTAAAGATGAGAAATGAATTAGGTAAAAATGCAACAAAAACGGAGATATTAGCTGTACTCTCTGTACCTTAGATATTCAGTTAATTCTTGTTAATAACGTTGATAACGTTGCTGGGGATGCTGTGGTATAGATTACAAGGCTTACTTGCTTTTTACATTAGTAGCCATAGAGTTTTATAGTACTGCTTGTTTTTCAGCTTTTCCTCTAAAAAAATTAAATGTTGGCGTCTGCCTCTAAAAACACAGAGTGAAATGAAATGTCAAGCAATTGAGGACATTCCAATATTGGAAATTGAGAGTACATGACCGAGGAAGAAATACTCATATTTAATAAAAGTGATGGACACCTGCTTAAAACCAAAGAGCAAAACCAAGACTCCAACATACATTTTCATTTTAGAGACAAATAATCTGAAAGTCAGTAAGTCTGTCAGTACAAAAGTTGCTTTCATTTTTCTTTCTCATTCATTGGTGATGCCCGTTCATTTAAGGCTCTGTTGTATGACGTGCACCCTTCTGTATGGCTCACTGTGTCTCAGTTAAGCTTTCTTGGCCCACCATAAAGCCTAATGCAAGCTAAAGGTTTTCCTTTCCTTCCTTTTTCTTTCCTGGGCACCAAACCTAAGCCATCTACATTAGTGCTTTATACTCAGTTCCTGAATAGACATTTGTCACCTAGAACTTCTTCCCCAGTTTCCCAAAGTTTTCAAAACATTCACTGTCCCTTGAAATACTTTTATATCCCCAAATATAGACCTTTCAGTCAGAACTGATACTGCCCCAATGTAACCATTGATTGCCTGGGTTTTTATTTTTGAAATATCATCAGACAGTGGATTTGAACAGAAATGGGAAATTCATCCAGCTTACTGTGTTTAGCTCTGTGGTAGGTATGTTTAGCAGCACAGAAGTTTTTCTGGCGTCAGAAACTGTAAGACCAGAGGGAGAATCATTGCTGAGATTTTTTTTGCTACAGCTCATCTTTGGGTGAGCTGATGATAATTTAGCAATAATAATAAAATGAGAAACAAAACTTAGAGTTCTTGGGAAACAGTCTGATAGACTGGAAAGCTCACGGACTTGAGAAGCAGGTTATCTGTGCTCTGGTCCCATCCCTTCATCGAAGTATTTTAGGTCTCATTTTCCTCATCCAAAAGTGTCCCAAGCATCCTTAGAGCAAAGAGAAAATAATGTTTTCTCATGCAGGAGCCACTTTAGTGCATTTTGTTGTCATATTTCTTTTCTTTTTTTTTTTTTAGTTAATCCTGGTTTGTAACATTATATACGTTTCATGTGAACATTATATTTCGACTTCTGTATACACGACAGTGTGCTTACCATCAAAAATTTAGTCTCCAACTTTCATTTAACAGCTGACTGCCTCTACCCATTTCACCATGCACCCCACCCCTGTAATCACTACTCTGTTCTCTGTATCTATGTGTTTGTTTCCATTTGGTTTTATTTATTTGTTTATTTATCATTTTTTATTCCACATATGAATGAAATCACACGGTATTTGTCTTTCTCCATCTGACTTAGTTCACTTAGTGTAATATCCTCAAGATCCATCCATGTTTCTCAGTGGCAAGATGTCATCATTTTATGGCTGAAAAATATTCTGTTGTATATATATATACCACATCTTCTTTATCCAGTCGTCTGTTGATGGGCACTTAGGTTGTTTCCATGTCTTGGCTATTGTGAATAATGCTGCTATGAACATAGAGGTGCATATATTTCTTCAAATAATTTTTTTCTTTGGATAAATACCCAGAAGTGGGATAGCTGGATCATACAGTAGTTCTATGCTTAAATTTTGAGGACCCTCCATACTGCTTTCCATAGTGGCTGCATCAATTTACATTCCCACCAACAGTGACTAGAGTTCCCTTTTCTCCACATCCCAGGAACACTGTTATTTCTAGTCTTTTTGATAACACCCATTCTAATGGATGTGAGTGATATCTTCTTGTTACCATTTCTTTAGTCTCATTTAACGTGGAACACATTCCATCGTTCCTTGGCTTTGATGGTCTTGACAATTTGAGGAGCACAGGGAACATATTACATAGAATGTCTTTCAATCTATTTCTAATGTTTCCCCAGGATTACATTTTGAGATAATGTTTACTCAGGTTTTACATTTTGAGACTGACCACTTTGTCCCACACCGTTTTGTCACCAACAAACCACAAGATGTAAACCTCCTAAAGGCAAAGTCTTCGTCTAATTTGTTCAGCTATTTTCAGTGCCTAGTACAGTACCTGACACATGGTGGGCATTCAGGTTGGCTCAAGAAAAGGAATGTTTTTGTACTGATGCGTGACCTCATGGGAGCTCAAGTTCAGAAATAGTTTCTGGCTAGGCTTTGTGAAAGTGAAATGCCATGAGAATCAGAAAACTGAGGCTGCTTCAGAAAGCAGTCCCTTTCTTGCTCAGCTAATGTTCCCTGTGTATTTGCTAATTTCTCTCCTTTCTCCTCATAGCTGCCTCCTTATTGGCACGTGGCCCTAAATATTCCCCCCAGTTTGCCTCATGACTCCCATGGATGGCTTATAACAGCTTGCTGCCCTGATATCTCTGTCTCTCAGTTCTCAGTTCCTAAGAGAAGAATCTGCTTAGCTGAGCTCATCTGTTGGCATCAGGCCCTGCAAGTTATAGGTGACTGACCAGCCTGGGATGGGCTGTTCTGTCAGGTAACCATGCTTGGTCTAGTCAGCTGTGGCTAGGGTGGGCAGAAGATACACACAGTACAGTTCATGGCTTTTGGGGGAGTTGAGGGGTGGATGTGAGCCACTGAGGAGACAATTCACAACTGGCACCAGTTGGTATCAATCGAAGAGAGTTTCATAAAGGGTCTATTTCAAAGGTGTGGGATGGGCGTAGGGAAACCACAGGGAAGTGCAGTACGTGGGGCTGGGAAGCCTGCAGAGGAGGCAGGAGCAGCTGCTGGAATTCAGAGGCAGTGAGGGCTCCTCCCCAGGCTTCTCCCCTCTGTAGGTAGAGGGCGATACCCTGAACTTTCTCGCCCTTCCTCCTCTGCTCTCCTGTCAAGGTTCCCCTTAGCCAATCCCAACGGGGAGCCAGAAATCAAGGAAACCATTTGGTTCAGCCCATATAATCAGCCTGCCTGGGCAGGGAAGAGGGCGGAGATGTGGAGAGTGGACATCATGGGCAAATCGAGACATCCGGCACAAGGGCATGGCCGGTGTGAGGGCAGTGGAAAGCAAGGACGTGGAGGCAGAGGATTTTCACAGCATCACCCAGAGGCAGGACTCACAACAGAACTCAAGTCTTTTATGGTGCAGGAACTTTTTGAAAAGCCTAAGCTTGAGAGTATTTTGTGGAAGTAGATCTCTGATACATGTCTCTGTTGATAACTTATCCTCAGTTGTGTTATTGTAGATGTAACTGGAGTATCCTTAGAGATAAATCGTCAAATGTGAAATAAATTTTCAAAGGCCACTCAGACAGAGTGCTCTAAGAACCTGGAGTTGCTACCATTAGAGTCATACTTTGGATTTAAGGCAAAAAAATTCTTTCATAAAAAGTGTGTGTGTGTGTACATATGT